ACCAGACAATGACGTTTTTTCATTGGCCACGCTCCACGCTAGGGGTGGGGCGAGGAAATTACGCTATGACGCCAGTTCTCGCTTGAGGCGGCCTCAGAGGCTAGAGCGGCAGCTGGAGAGTGAGCCGTGCTTCCGACGGCGTGGGCGGTGCTTCCGGGGGCGGGCAGTCGGACCTCGGGAGGAGGGTCTGACAGTTGGCGCCGCCGGGAGGGAGGGCGGGCTGCGCGAGTGGGCGCGGGCCCCGTGGGCCAGGTGAGGCTCAGGCGGGCCGGGGGCGGCGGGACAGGGCCGGCTGCAATGGTTTGGGGGGGTGTCTGAGGCGCTGGAGCTTCAGTCCTGGCTTTTCTGTGCGGCTCTGGGCAGATGACTTTCTCTGAGTGAGCATCAATTTCCTCTGTAGAATGGGGGGTCATACATAATCTGGCTGTAGCGCCTCCCTCATGGTTGATATGAGGAGTCGAGCTCGTGCACGTCGGAGCCCCTGGCTCAGCGCCTGGCACTTAATGCTCACTTCGTTACTCTTGGGTTTTTTTTTTCTTTTCTTTTCTTTCTTTAGTTGTGTGCCATCGAGTCGGAATCCACCCATAGATGACCCTCGGGCATTTTTTCAGATGCAGTTTAATCGCATGGGAGTAAATGGCCCATCCTTCTCCCTTCGCCACTTCGTTGCTCTTATTGTTAGTATTGAGCATGTATGTTGTTCGCGCTCGTGAAAACGTGGGCCTGTGACTTCACCTCCCGGAACTTCACCATCTATTTATATATTCAGGGCGAGTAGTCCCAATATCATTGAATCTCTGTGAATATTGTGATGAAATGTGCGTATAAAAGCTGTAGGCACAGCAGGGAAGGTCCCGGCACAGCTGGAACTCAGTAAATGAGGACTGTCATAATACGGATTTTTTTAAAAAAATAATACGGATTTTGAGAGCCATCGGTGTAGCGAGGGGTTCCGAGAAAGTAATGGAAGGAAGCTCAGAGACTGCAGTGGGAAGAACATGGAATCTGGAGTTGCACAGATCGCAATTTGCTGTCCCCGTAAAGTGCTGAGGTGCTAACCAACCAGTCACTCCAAGGGAGAAAAGATGACCCTTCTCTCATTAGGATTTGCGGCCTCAGAAACCAGACAGAGGGTTGCTGTTAGCAGGAATCTACTCCACAATGGATTTTTGGTTTTTTTTTCTATTTATTGACTACTTTTGCTATATTTTGTAATATTAGAGTTTTCTTTAAAACGACTGATGTAAATGAGTGTTGATGAGCTCTAGTGACATAGTTCGTAGTGAGTTGCATGGCTAACCCAAAACTGTTGTTTCGATTGACCAGTCGCTTTACTGTAGAAAAATGGCCAGTCTGCTCCTGTTAAGATCTACACCCTTGAACACTTGATTCAGGGTCACTATAAGTTGGAACTGACATGCCCAAGTGGTGGTCTTAACCTGCAATATAATGGAAATGGAAGAGTCAAATTGTAGACAAAAATTAAAAGAGCATTGAAAACTAAAATACGATTCCATGCAATCAGATTCCATGTTATTTATCAGGTGCTGTAGAGTTCACTGCAATTCATAGTGACCCCATGATCCCATGGGGTCAATTATTTGTCACTCAGTTCCCAGCCCACATTTTGCACATAACCATGGTATGAACCTCATGACTGTCTCACGGAGTCTATTTCATCTTTCTCTGGCTCCTAGAAGATCTTTTAAATTAATATACACACAGAGAGCACTGATCATTGTTCTAAGGACTTTGTATTTATGCACTTATGGCTAGGGCAGCTAAGAACAAGGTCGTTTTTTATTTATGAATGCAGGGAAATTAAATTCAGAAAGGTTACACCACAAAGTCATTGTTAAACCAAAAACTATCTTGTCAGTTCCAGAGTTGTGCTTCTGTATGGGATTTTCTTGCCTCTAATCTCTATATTAGCAGATCTGCAGGCATTATTTTCTTAGTGCCACTGGGTTTGTTTGAACCACCATACTTTACGTTAGCAGTAGAGAAGCACAAATACTTTGAGCCACCCAGGGACACAATCACAATCAAGAAATGGTGAAGTTGAGATTTGGAGCCAAGCCTTCTAAAGGGTTGGGCAAGGAACCTGGTACACATGGTCATCACTAGATTCAGAGGAAATGTCGTTTTTCTATTAGTTGGATACTTTTCATTATTCAGAAGTTCAGTGCTGGAGATGGACTTTAAGATGGTAGACAGAGGAAAGTGAAGCCTTCTGGGGAATCCTCCATTAAAAATAATGTCCCCTGTGAGCTACAGCCTCTGAAAACCCACTGGAGGGTCAGCTATGAGTTGGTTCTCACTCTAAGGCAATGAATGAGTGAGAAGAACAGGGAGCTCTGTGGTGTAGTCTACAGGGAGTTGTGCTGCTCACCCAAAGGTGGTGTCTCTTGTGTGTCCTTGAGCTGGAACCAACCCTTTAGCTGACCCTCCAGTGAATTTTCAGAGGCAGTACACCACACTGGAGGAGACTACCCATTCTTCTCCCTCAGAGCAGCTGGTGGGTTTGAATCACGTGCCTTTGGGATTGCAGTGCAGCTTCTTACCACTTGGCCACCAGAGCTTTAATCCACCAATGGCTCCAGGAATAAAAAAATAGGCATTCTCCTCCTGAGCAATTTTTTAGCTTCCAAAACCCCCTTAGAGGATCAGCTGTAATTTAGTGCAGACTCAATGGCGATGAGTGATAGGGGAAGAGGGCCGATATTTACAGGATTCTGCAAAGCGTTAGCTGAGACCTTTGCAAAGACAGATCTTCAGTGTAGTCTCTCAAACAGCACCAACCACAACCAGGATCTGAACCATGTGGATTCAGTTAAGTTGCTTTACTTGCTGTGTGATGGGATTTTTAAAATGTTATTAATTTTAATGAACGTTTACAGAGATTTTGGATTTCTTTTCATTCATTGTTGCATGCTGTGTGATGTTTTATCTTTATTCGCAGGGTGATGGTGGGTAGGCACTGAGGTGTGCTACCTTTTCGGTGCCTGTGATTTAGCACGTGAGCATTGGCATCAGGGAGAACTTGTTTTTTTAGTTCCAATTAAGCCACTTAACTGGCTGGCTGGATTTGGCTGTGGGCAAAGACTCCATCTTATGGAGTCTTGGTTTTTCCATCAGTTAAATTGGAGCTAACAACAATCCTCACTCAGCAGACAGTGATGGTGTACCAGTGTGATGCTTGGCTGTGGTCCTGGCGCCTGGTTAGTGTCTGCTCTGTGAGAAGCTGTGGCTCGTTGACTTGCTGACGCTTTGCCATCCTCTGCTTTTTGAGTGATGCCTGTTCAGTGGTAAAATCCAGAAGGAAGAATAGATGGAAGGATGTCACACACAGGGTCCGAGAGTAATGTTTGTGGTCATATCCAAACAGAAGAAAAAGAGCAGAGTCAGAGAAGGGTAGAAGGAGCTCTGGTTGGGGTTGGGGGCTGAGGGAAAGTCTCACAGAGCAGACAGTAGCTAAGGAGGATGCACTCAGGAACTTGTCAGGAGGACAGGAGCGGGAAGGCATCCCAAGTACAGGTGGCTTCAGAGTGTCAGCAGACTGGCTGGGATGGAGGCAGGCTGTAATAATAGCCAATACCTCTGGGGCTCTTAGTGTATAGCAGATACTGCCTCAAGTGCTGTGCATGTATGAGTTTTCACGTAGAAGCTCATCTCACCCACCTAAGGTTGAGTGATGTCTGTAACATCCCAGCTTATAGGTGTGGACGCTAAGGCCCACTTAGAGAAAGAGTCTACCAGGGTCACATAGCTATGATGTTCTCAGGCTGGATTTGAGCCCTAGCAGTCTGATTCCAAGAGTCCTCACCCTTAACTGCTCTGCTGTACCATCAAGATGGGAATAGAGGTGAGGCAGATGGTGTGACAGTCATGAGAAAGCCTTGGAGCAGGGAGCCTTCTGCACCCCATCAAGGAGGGGGAGGGAGGACTCAGAATAAGAGGTTAGTGCAGGTAAGGGGGCCAGAGAGAAGGGAGAGGATGGAGGAGGTAATGGAGAGAGGGGGTCTGAGGCAGGTAGGAGGAAGACTGAGTGGGCAGGAAGCTCGTGCTCGGTACATTGGATAAAATGGTCATGGACTCTAGTAACATTGACTCATCAGGTGACAAAGTTATTACCTCGAGTTCCCATCCACCATTTCTGTTAACGTCTCCAGTGTTGCTGCTGTGTCTCCACCAATTTTCTCACATTCACTTCTCTTGTCCTAGTGAAAACCGCTTTTTCATGTCTTCTTCAGAGCTTACTCACTGCAGCCCACCGGCCTCACTGCTGTTCTTCAGGCATGCCAATGTGTTCCTGGCTCAGGCCTTGGCCCTGATGTTCTTGTGTTTTTTCTTCCATCAAACCACATGGCTCACTGCTTGACCTCCCTCAGGTCTTCCCTGATGGCCCCATTTCACATTGCAACCCCTCCCTCTCTAGGCCCTCCTTAGTCACCAGTCAGCTTTAGTTTTCACCATGATATCCTTCTTATATTCTATCACTTACGTATCCACCTCATTTACTCTCTCTCTCTCTGCCACCTCTGCTGTCCCCGGCTGGGTGTTTTTCTCTACTTCTGTGTCTGTTCTATGTCTATTTCTGTGTTTTTTTGTTCAGCTTAATGTCCTCACTCCTAGAACAGTACCTGACTTGCAGAAAGATCTCGGCACATGATTATTTGAGTGGATGAAGGAGTGTTTACAGTCAGAGTCTTGGGCTGGGGAATCTTTATTCAGTCCCTCTCCTATTCTGGCCTATTGAGGTGTGTGGTGATGGAGCTGTGAAAGTCTCTTGTCCCTGGGCCTTGTCCCAGGGCAGAAGTGATAGCTATGGTGGTAGCCCTGTCCCTGGGTGACTTCCAGCCAGCTGCTCCAGGCTATTCCTGGGCCATGAGCCCCCAGCCCTGGAATGCTTGCCTGGCAGAAAGACAGGTGACTGGTGACAGGCTCGCAGACCCGGCAGCCACTCATGGCCTCTCTTCTCTTCTCTCTTCCAGGCTCCCAGGAGCAGCGTCCAGGCCTGGGAGACAATGGTTTCAGTGACTATGGGTGAGTCTGTGGTCCCCCTCCAAAGCTCCCTCTTCCTACTGCCCTTTTTGAGGTATGGCTCAAGCGGGGGAGACTGTCTGGGGGAGAAGGGCCAGTTCACTGACAGGAACAGCTGTTCTGAGGAACCTCGGGGGTGGAACCAGGCCTGCCTGCCACCCCTCCTCTCTATATCGGCCTCCTGCCTTGGCTGCAGAACTCAGCTCTTGAAATCCAGCAGTTCTTCTACAGGGCCTCTCAGAGCCTCGGTTTTCTCATCTGCATTAGACCTCATGGAATTGTGAGGATTACATGTCATTTCATGGAAAACCTGGGGCAAAGCCTTCAATAAACCTTTACTCTTGATAGTGTTAAGGATCCCTAGTGGCTTGGTGGTTAAACAAGGTGGTGACCAAAAAGGTCAGCAGTTGTGGATCCACCGGCCACTCTGCAGGCGCAAGATGAGGCTGTCCACTCTGTAAAGCTGCTCAGGCATGGAAACCCTGTGGGACAGTTCAGCTTTGTCCAGCAAGGTGTCTGTGGGTTGGAATTGGCTGGGAGGTTTTGGTTGGAGCCTTGTTTCCATAGTCTCTTTAAATGCTGTGTTTTTGGATTGCTCAGGCAGGACTAATGGGTAGTCTTTGGAAATGTTGAAATTTATTGTATATGTAGAAAAATAAATGGAATTTGTGTGGGTTTAAGAATAAACAGCAAACATTTGAGTATATCCTTTATGAGACCCTTTATATCAAGCACAGAAATAAGCAGAACTTATCTGTGTTATTAGAAGCTGGTGTTTACGTGCATATGTGTGTGTGTGTGTTTTGTGTGTGTGTACATGTACAGGGGAGCAGGGACTAGGAGACAGCTGCGGGGTTGTGTGTGTGTGTACACGTACAGGGGAGCAGGGACTAGGAGACAGCTGCGGGGTTGTGTGTGTGTACACATGTACAGGGGAGCAGGGACTAGGAGACAGCTGCGGGGTTG